TTTACAGAAATGGTATGATTCCACAAACATGGTTTCTTCATCACAGCATTTATCAGCACCTCGTCAACGTCACTCCAAGATTTATTTGCTTTATTTCTGGGTTTTTTCTTCTTAGGTACTTCAAACTCATCAACATTATTATTTTCGCCTAATGTTGGCTCTTCATCATCTAGTCTCCCTAAAGAAAGTTCCAATTAAGCATACTGAGATAATTGACTTGCAATAGTAACAAATAAGATATAAGTATTTGAAAAACAAATACTCAACAAAAAATTTACCTTTAAATAAACAGTTGTTCTCATTAACAAAAATATTTTCCGTTTCAATATTTATGTTTGCAAAGCATGAATGCTTTAAAAAATCAAAATTTTCTTTTGGCACTTTAACATTGCAGTACAAACATTGATAATACTGTAAAAGAAAATAATAAACATTATACTTAACCTCAATATATTTGTTTCACTATTAACATCACATCAATATTTAAGATTTTATACTTACAGAATCTTCTTCCTTTCCGCTTATTTTATTTTTGTTATAACCCTCCATTTTCTAAGTATTCAATAATTTTTAACTGAATTTACACAGTACATACTTAAAAATCGGTAATTGAAATATACTCTGGCAGGCCTTGGTTTGCGTGATAGAAGACTCTGCGTGTGAGAAAATGCGGAATAGCTCTGATTGGTTGCTTCTATGACGCACGTTCTATTCCGCAGCTCTATTCTGCACCATGTGATTTCAGCCTAAAAGAATGAATTACTGCTAAAACTGCTGTATCCGATGCCTAAAAGAACACACCCATTCGGTTGCGCATGTTACTAGACCGGTGTTAACCGGAGCTTGGTGAAAGTTGCCCTCAGCCAATCAGAGCGCGATGAACGCGTTGTCGACTTTCTGATCTACAAGCTCCTTAGTATATATGGTTTATGATGATCTCATTTATATCGGGTCTATGGTTGGCGTTGTTCATTGTCGTTGGAAGGTTGCTGGTCCGTGAGGTTCAAATTGATATTGCAACGGTAACACGTGGCTCGGTAACCTTTTATCTGCGTTTAGAAGCGTTATCTCTTGTAAGACATTATTCCGTTGATTATATATGATTTGAAGAATCGCGAGAATGTCGCGCTCTGTTAGAGATTCGGACGACGATGTCGAGCTGAAAATAGGTTCGTATAGCTTGCGTTTTTCTTCCTTCTAACCTGCATGCGCACGAGACGCAAAAGACCGCCGGCCGGTTACAACCGGTCGCCTCGGCGCTAAGAATTTCTGCGTTTGATAATTTTCCTTTGATTACGCAAATGTGGGGTTCCCTTCATTTTTTTTCCTTTTAGTTTTTGTCTGTTCCCCCCCCCCCCCCTCGAAATTGTTGCTATGTTCTCAACGATCTTGACGAGATCTGACGACCGTTTCCGTTATTCTTCCCGTTTTCTGCCGTTATCGGTTTTAAAGCCGGATTTCCAACCTTTTGGTAAGCTAACTAATAATTAAATTATATGTCTATCTGAAGGAATAACAAAGACATGCATATGAGTGAACTATTAGTTAACTTACCAAAACGTTGGAACTACCAGCCGTTAACCTGTGACTTGTGTACGTATGTTTATTAATTTTAATGACCTTAAGGTATAAAGCTTTTTCCTTCTAAAATTCATATCTTGTTGCGTTTTGTGACACAATTTGTTGAAAAAAAAATATTTTCTTCGACTTTTATTCAATCACGTTTGATCACAGCAATTTTACATGATCGCTCGTATAGATAAATATGTATACAAATTATAAATATGTTTAAAAACAATGAAATAGAGATCTGTAAATGTTATTTATGCTAATCTTAATTATCTATTTGAATGTGTAGATATAAATATGCAAATAATTATTTGTCTATATAATAACTATTTATTTAAATATGTAGATATATAAATATGTATATATAATAAATCAAAATCCGGTACATTATTCTGTTAAGTATTTCTGTAAGTGTAGAAGTATGTAAGACTACCAAGATTCAAGGTTATGTATTACACGCAATCTCGAACGTTCTTACTTTGTTTACCTTAGTAATATCCAGAGCTTGGTATCTTTTTCTTTTAAGATGTAGGCCGGTATTCATAGTCGATTCTTATTTCAATATCGTCTTAAGTGTTGTCTTAAGAGGCTAATATGGCTCTGTGATTAGTTCAAGACACATTAAGACTTAAGAGTATACTTAAGATGATGTTAAATATAAGAACGGACCATGAATATCGGCCATAGTTACAATAAAGATTATGGTTTTCTTACTTTCAATGTAGAGGTCCTGTATAGATACCAGATGCGCTGAATTTTTTTTTCGAAGCAAGCTACTATCTGTACCTGTATCTTTCTTCTGAAAAATAATTCGGTACATCTTGTATCTATGGCTGCGGTCGAGCTGTTGCTTCAAATATTATGTTTCAAAGCATTCTTCTTCTTTCTTTCATTAAAGACGGAAATAAAACGGGGTTCGCAATGATGAGAATGTTGTGGATTTCCTGACGATATTCATGGAGTCCACTAAATTCTGAGTGGACTTCGAAAATCCTCAATTTCTCCGATCCATCATCGCTCCTCGCCTTTGTTCATTTCGATATGCAAAGTTTCGCTGATCATCATAATATCCTTGTCTGCCTCGATTGTGTTTATCCTCAGGCGTTATTCCTTCGACTTTATTATCTGCCTTCGACTACCTTTCCTTTGTCTCGAGATCAACGGTTGACTCTTTTAAACTCATCGTGACTCTTATAACCGAGCTCTCGTCTCGACGTTTCCGTCTCTTTAATCTCAGTGTACAAGTCGCGCTTGCGATTTCGGTTCCGCAACCTACATTGAACTCGACACTCTACATCGAAAGTAAGAAAACCATAATCTTTATCTTTCGGTGTAAAAACCGAAGTGCAGGCATAATTTTTTAAAATATTTGTAGCACTGGTCGAACTGTGCTCTAATTCGCCGAGAGTAAGTCCCAGTCTACAATAGAGATTTAAGCCCTAAGCCTTAAGAAATTGACTAATGACAGTCGCGCATTCTACTCATACTTGACCGTGATTGGCCAATTTCTTAAAGCTTAGGGCTTAAATCATCTATTGTAGACTGGGACTAAGTCGTAAACGTAGATAGCGCACAAGCTTTGACGTATGTTGTATTTACTTCCAATTATATACATTTTACATTTACACCAAAGCTTGTGCGCTATCTACGTTTATGACTTACGTCTTGCTGTAAGCTGTTACAGCCTTTTGTGCTCTGACTCTAAATCAGAGCTGAAGTGGAAGTAAGAAATGGAAGCGATTCATTTCTTTATTCCTACTCTTACGTTTTGCGTCAGGCTTACATCATCTGTTGATGGAAAGTAACTTGTATCTGTATCTTTGAAGAAAGAAGTCAAGATACCAGGCTTTGGTAATATGTACCTTGGTTTGATTAGTTTAGTTTTTTTTGTTATTTTGTGTGTTGTAGCTACTGGTCGTAGACAAACGCGAACGCTAACGTTACAACCCGTGAGCTCTCCGTTACGTCGCAGCAGCAGAATAAAGCAGAGTAAACATTCACCAGGTTCGGAAAGCGATAGCAGTAGTGTCAGTGGCATTAGCCAAACAGCCTGGAAACCGAGATCTCGAACATCGACTATGGATTTTACTGCTTTGGATACAGTGAGGAAACTACGAACTAGAAAGTCCTCCATTTCCTCGGACGTTGAGGTGGACAACGATACTCCGCAAACATCTGGAAAACGAATGACAAGGCGGGGCTCGATTGCTCCTGTTGGCACACCTACCAAGGTCAACACTCGAGCAACTAGGTATGGTAATTGAATTAATATGGTTGTATTCATTCGTACACGATGCGTTTATAACTATTGTTATGGTCCAGTAAACGCCACGTGCGCGCTGTCTCTGAGGTAATGTCACCACTTAGGGTCACACGTAGTACGAGAGCCAGCTCTGTTGATCCAGAATCTTTGTTCGATCAAAATAAGAGTCGATCGGATTCACCAGTTAACGTACGCAGGCAAGCGACTATGTTGCCGTCGAGTTCTCTAGCCAAAGAGCAAATTCCATTGAAGGATCGTGTGCCCTATGTACGATTGGATGCTACAATAGTTGAAACTGATGAAATCACAAGTATGGGTAATTTCTTAAAGTTGTTATCTGTTATCAAGTGGCTCTATTTGTATTTCAAGTATAGTCGTATGAATGTAACTTCATGCTTAATGATATAATCAGAAAGATTTCCTGACACTATTGAGATTTCTAACAAATCTATTTTGTTAAATACACGCAGGAAACTCTGATTCTTCTCCAGATAAAGCATCACGTTTGCCGCAAGAGATTAAAAAACGTCAAAGTATGGATAAGGATAAAGTTGAGGGTGATAGCCATGGTGAGAAAAACTAAATAATAGTAATATTAATAGAATAATACACTAAAGTCAATTTTCGAAAAAATAAATTATTTATATTCTTATATTAATTTTATGATTGTTTAATAGAAACGTTAGAGACTTCAACTGATTCGTCAAAAAGTGAAACACAAATTAAGGACATAGATAGAGCAACAGTGAAAAATATAGAAAATATTGGTAAGTAAAATTAAAAACTGTCCTGAATGTACCTAATATTAAGTTAACATTATATATTTGCTTCTTAAAAATATATCACGTTCACAATCACTTGACGAATTCAGGGGTCCTCTATCTTTTATTTAGAGATGTGCGAACTATTCGAACACGAATTTAATCAAATCGAATGAAGCCGGTTCGTTTCGAACTTAAATTTCTATGAATCTGATCTGATTGATTTCTGTGAATCGAATCTGAACTGCCCAAAAATTTCGAATACGAATCGTAAAATATTTCTGGTTAATAAGCAAAACAGTATGGCCATGTCAGTAGGTGCATTCAGAACTACAATCGCTCACTGAGCAATTAACAAATAGCAATAGAACAGTGCTCGGAGTTTGTTGCACATTTCGGGCAGATTTCGTAGATAAACACCTACTGTCCCCTCACTACGGTCAATATACAGCAGGCGTCTCCTACGAAATCTGCCCGAAATGTGCAACTAACTCTCAGCACTGTAATAGAACATGAACTAATTTTTACCTTCGATTTAAATCAACGAGTATTCATAATAAAATATATTATTTAACTTTAATTGCTATGCATGTAATTGATCAACATTATTAGATCTTATATTAGATTATTTAAATAATTTAAGATTTTTTGCATAATTGTTTCATTTATTGTGACATTAAATAAAGTATATTTTATTAGTTTTATATCAAATATATAAATGTTTTTATATTAAAACGAGTTTATATTCTATAATCAATATTATTTTTTCACATCAAGATATTCTTTTATTATCTGTATGTTATCTAAATGTTAAAAATTAATTTAATAATCATATTGTTAGTTAAAAATTATATTTCAACGATTTGATTCGATTTAATTTGACATCAAAAATCTCCTTGATTTGCACATCTCTATTTTTATTGTAGGATTTAATATAATGTTTTGAATAACACGGGACAAATTGTAATGTATATATGTTTGTGTCTGTAGCTGAAGAAAAAGACGTGTTTGAAAAAAGCTCATCATCATCAACCCCTGTTATAATAGAGGACATCAATTCGTCTTTGTCAAGCCATCCAAATTCTTCGAAGAAAAACAATATAAATATTGAAAAGAATCTGTCCGATATTGAAAAATCATTAATTGACATATGTAAATCGCCTGAAGTCCTAAAGTCTTCTAAAGGAAATATATCTGAAATTTTATTGGACACTTCTACTGAAGAGCAAAAGAGTGACAAGGAAAATGAAATACTGAACATTAATAACGACGTATCGGTAGAAAAGAGTATGCAGCCTAATGTGACATCGAGCATTAACCGTTTTGCTTCGTCCTTTTTGAATAAATCATTAGGTGAAAAGGAAACTAAATCTATGAAAGAAGAACTAAGTGAGAGGCGTCATTCGAGTGAAATAACAGAAACTGCAATTAAACATGATTTATTAAGAGAAGTTACCAATAATCCTCAAGAAAAGATGGATATTTCTACAGAATCTTTAAGTTCAACTGGCACAAGTAAATTACAACGTTATGGTAAAGTTGGCAAAGTTATTAACAAAGATGAAACATATATTGAAACTATAGGTACGTCTTTTAACGAGGACACAACGAAAATGGCCAGCGAATTAGATAGAAATGAATGTACTGTTATAGATAATAAAAATTCTAACGAAATCAAGTCCAATAACGTAAATGAAATTACTATAACTCAAGATGAAGTAATGGACAAATTCGATTCTATAGAAGAGAAACAGGAACAGGAAAATTTATCTAAACGTGTAACGAAGTCAACTGACTCTTCTAACATTATCTTGGAAACCAATGATTCCGCATGTGATAACTCGATCGATACAGTAATTCAAATTGCCCAGTCTTCTAATGTAATGGAAACATCTAAAAAATCTGCAATGGATTTATCACCTGAGAAAACAGATGCAAACGATATTTTGCAGGAAAAGATCATGAAACAGAACTTGGAGCAGGAGAGTACAAATGTATTGGATGTTTTAGAGACAGAACAGGGGAGTTTACAAATGAAATTGAGTCAAAACGATAAAACAAATATAGAATGTGCTTCTGATGTTCCTGATGTAGAAGGTATTGATTTGTTCCAAGATATTCCCGCTGACGATTGGAGGGAAAAAAATAAAGTCGATCCAGTTCAGTCTTCCTCTCAATCCGTGAAGCAGATGGAAAGTGACAATAAAGCCGAATGTGAACTTATTTTGGTGGATAAACAAGCATGGTTGGCGGCTGAAAGGATGAAAGCAGCAAAGGAGGCGGAATCTTTTGAATATGATTCTGACGACACCGTCTTATTGAAAAGTCAATTGGACGCGGTAAAGGCGAATTATGATGTTAAAAAATTGGATACTGTAGATGAAGAACCGATGGATATTGATAGCGAAGAAAACGAGAAACAAGTTAAAAAGCGAAAAATAAAAACCAAGAGGAGAATTCAAACTGAGATAGATGAAGATTCTTATAGCACAGGTAGCACAAGATATGAAGATAATTATGATGATAAATCTTTCAACAAGTCCAAAACAGCTTTAAATCAAACTAATGACCGATCTATTTCTGAATTAAATAAATCAGAGCAGTCTATAAGACTAAGACGATCTTCCAAAGCAAGCGATGAATCGGATAAAGAAATAGAAAAGGATACAAGTAGATTAAAAAGTTCGTTAATAAGTAAGAAAGATATGTCTTTACGGAAATCGATGGAAAGAAGACCATCATTCAATAAATCTTCAGAAGATACGCAAACTATTGCTGCAAATAACTCTCGAATAGATGATGAAGAGAAAGAACTCGAAAACACATATGTACCTATGGGGAAATTACACAAGAAAGCAGATTTGCGGAAAGACTCAATGAGGAAGTCATGTAATGAAGATGTGAATGATGATTTAACCAAATTTGAAAACAAGACCGTATCAACTAATGATAGTAAAGAAGTTAAAAATATATCCTTAAATCGTTCTATTGATCAGAAATCAAAGCCAATAGATACAAAGATAATACATTTAAACGATGATGAAAGTGACAATAGCGATATAAACACAGCAATGGATTTGGAAGCTCCTCATTCTATGGAAGCAAATTCAGGCTCGCAGAGCAGTGATCAAGATGAACTTAGTGTTCCAAATTACTTGTTTGCAGAAACAAATACCGATAACGCTATTGATGATAGTAACAGCGATAGTGATGACATTAGCGATTTGTTATTGTTTGTTAATGATGTTAATGATGACAGCAGCAGCGATACTGATGATAGCAATTCTGATGACAGCAATTCTGATATCAATAGAGAATATAATCTGGATGGAGTGGAACAAAAATTCTCCGATGATGATGACCGATTTGCTGATGAATGCAGAATATCAGAAGAAGAATTTTCAGATTCCGATGACAATGGTTCAGATCTCAATGATTTCATAGTCAATGACAATGACATAGAAGATGAGGAGGAAGAAGAAGCTGAAGACATGCAAGTTATGAAAGAAACAGATGAAAGCGAAAATGAGCAAAATGAAGAGGATGACAAAGCTGCACATAACGAAGAAGTAGAAGATGAAGAAGAACAAGTACATATTGGTACAGAATCAGTGATAAACATGGAAGATGAAAATAATGAGGATAATGAAGATATTCAGGAAAAGGATCGTACAGCGAACAGAGAAGAGGATAGAAAGGAAAACAAATTTGCCGGAATAGAGACTATTTCTCCATACGCTAGTACCTCTGGTAAACTGTCTAAAATGAAACGAGACATCAAACTGAAGAAATCCAAAATGGAGAAAACTGAAAAACCTATTTTACTGGAGTCATCAAATTCAGACTTGTCAACTAAGAAGAAAAATAAATCTCTTACGAAGAAAGGTGATATTTTGTCAGATTCCTTCAATTTAATCTCTTCATCGATTGAAAAGAAAAAGAAATCGGATCTAAATCTTGACAGCTCTAAGAAACTGGAACTTGATGAAACATTTCAAAAAATTTCAAAGAATGAAGATATTAAGTCAGACAGTACACCTAAAATACAGAATACTTCGATTCAGGAGGAGAAATCAAAGGACTCTACATTAAATGAAAATATCAATTTGAAGAAGCTTAGTCATGCAAATAGAGAAAAGATGTCATACGATTTTTCACCCGAGTTGTTGAAATTGGTAGAAACGCAAAGATTCTCTCGATTAACACCTAAGACAAAATCACGTAAAACAATGAACATCAATATCGAATCACCAACAATAAAGTTTCTTAGAAAAGAGAAGTTAAACGAAAGTGCGCCAACATTGAACTTGAATGCAGAAATCGGGTCGTTGTCTACGAAAAGGGAGGATACTGCACAAATAAAAATAAAACAAAACAGTAGTAACAACGAAGTGTCTGATTTGGTAATACTGTGTGACAATGTCAAACAAAAGCATAGTAAAAAGAGACAGAAAAAGCGCAAGAGAGGAGACACATCGAGGGAAAATATTACTGATGACATTTTATCCGAAGATGCAACACAATTTGTTCCTAAAAAGAAGAAACCTGTCAAGTTTACTCACTTAACTATTGGAGACGATAATATTCGCGAAGATGCGTACCAGATTAGTGAGAAAAAGAAGAAGAAGAAGAAACAAGGCACATCAAAAGAAGATATCACTGACAAAACTTTGCTTGATGCTACAGTTGAACCAGTGATTCCTAAAAAAAAGAAATCTACCAAGCTTACTCAATTAACTATTATAGACGATAATATCCATGAAGATGCATGTCAAATTAGTCGGAAAAAGAAGAAGAAACAAAATGTATTAAAAGAAAATGTCGACGAAATTTTATCTGAAAACGCAAAGGTAAAATTAAAGATTCCTAAAAAGAAGAAACTTGGCAAGCTTACTCAATTAACTACTATGGATGATAATATTTGCGAAGCTGCATCAACTAATGAGAAAAAGAAGGAGAAGAAACAAGATACATTAAAGGCAAATATCATTGAAGAAGCTTTATTTGATGATGTAGAGTTAAAGATTTCTAAAGGAAAGAAACGTGCTAAACATATTCAGTTATCTGTTGTAGAGGATAATACTTGTGAAGATATGTCTCCGATTAATGA